TCTCTCAAAATAGATTTTCACCACGAGTAGTAAATGAGAGGGATTATTTCTAAGACTTTTGTGCTAGAATAACAAAAGTCTTTCGATCAATTTTGCAATATTTTCATTTTTCTTCCAACAGACTTTTTACTATCTTAGCAAGATATATAGTTCAGACGCTTGTTACTATCGGCATGTGTACCAGATCCAACAGGTGTCTAAAAAAAAAGGAAAATGGTTTGTAAAAACCGCCCTTTTCCCAGTTTGATACCTCCATTCGAAATAATTAACGCGCTACTTAAAAATTATATAAAACTCTTCCACAAAAATGGCTGAAGTAGATTTATTTTTGTCGGAGCAACATCAATCAGAAAACGGGCAGTCAACTGTACTTTACTACAGATCAAAACTGTTTTAAATCTATCAGCAATTTCACAATTTTTCGCAGTCCTTTCTGCTCAAGGAAAGGAAATGCTTCCACCCAATTTTCCACCATGCAGTCTAAAGTGATGCGGATTGCAAATACTCCGGCTTGTAATAGCAAGACATTTGGCCTGGATATAGATTTCAATTCTTTACTCTGAGTTAGTTTTGGAGCCACAGTAAAGATTTTAGAATGTAAACGCCAGGACACAGTATTTGGTGGGATTGTAACCTGTTTCTACTCAATATGTATCATACCACCACCCATTTATATATTTGAATACTATGGGTGAACTTAAGCGCCTCCCCGTGTGTAAAAATATTCGTTGACATTAAGTCCATTTTAGAATTGGTTGGGTGGTCCGGTTTAAAAGTTGTCTCTAATCACTCCTCAATTTTTGACGCTCCACCAAGCGACAACAATGCAGCTAAAGGGTGGATGCGACGGACCAGCCTTGTTCTAGTTGACACGATGAGCAGTCGATACGATAATCAACGACTCGTCACAAGCAATTCATTCCTCTTAAATTTAGCATTGGAGTAGGTTATTTAGTGGTGGTTTTTCCCCAAAATAAAATAAATGGACAATTTTGAGCGCTTTGAGCGGCCTCTAAATATTTTTTAATTTCAAAATAATAAAATAGGGGTATATTTTTTTTAATATAAATGTAACAATCCTAAGGAGTGAGGGCATACAAATTCCGACTTTGCTTTTTCACATGAATTTTTGGACCACCCTAATATACACTGTTGAGGCCAAAGCGCAAATCCTTACTCAGGACTCTCCAGTGTTGAATAAACCTCCAGACCAGCCCCCTTCCACGAAGGCAGTATAAATTCATATGGGAGTTATGCCATACCTAGTGCCTTTTTTCGTACTCTGAGCCTTTGGCTATGCAAACCACCAACTTTAAATCTACATTCACAGAAGCTGTAGAGCTTGGACTGTGACAGAATCGAGTCAAGGGACTAACTTGATAAGTCCAAAGATCTGGTGTGTTTATGTATACAAAAACAAGGGTCCAGCACTTCGAGTCTATAACCAACAATTCCATGCATTGAAATCAGTCTCATTATGAAATAATACAAATGTCGCGCTAAATTATTTAATTTATCTCTGAGAAAATAAATTAATTAGATACATTCAAAGCTAAGTGTGTACATATTTGTCTGAACAATCTACTAAACATGGTAAATTGAATTTACTGGGTTTCACACCACATCGTATATCAGATATAGCGCAATGCCCTACCACAATGCAGAACCTATAGCTGCGGTCAGTAGTAATCATACATACGTAACATACTGATGGGTACGCGTGTAAATATTACTTGTATATATGTATGCAAGTGTATTAGGGGTGTCTTTTAATGAAAAAAAAACCTTAATATGATTATGAAAGTCTTTTATGCTATTACCATTCTTCCTCTTTTTGTTCGGTGCTGTACCCGCCTATGCGATTCCGGCGAAGAGCAATAAAGCAAGCCAGTCGATTTATTGAAGAGCGCTCTCTGAGCGCAGTTGCAGGAGTCGAAAATCGAATATGTAGCATATCGAGCCCTAACCGCCAAAATAACGTAAGCGACATTTTTTTCAAAATTTTCTTTTTGATGCAGAAATATTCCTAGAGCATCAAGATGAATTTCTGCATCAAAAATAAAATTTTGAAAAATATGTCACTTACGTTATTTTGGCGGTTAGGGCTCGATATTATACGTACATATAATTGACAGGGCAATTCTAGCTAAGATAGTTTAAAGTCTTTCGTAAGACAAACGAAACACAGATGGCAAGACAGCTTGAAAGACTTTTGTTATTATAGCACAAAAGTCTATGAAGAAAAGGTCTCCCATTCACAAACGCTTTTTTTAGCTTTGATATCTATTTTGTGCCTATAATTTAAAAAATGAGTATATTGACATGCATTCAGGTTTACAGGGATTTTTGAGGTCGCTGAATTCGAATGCGAAGCCAAAATAACGAAAACCAAAATTAAAATATTTTTAATTTGAAAAATATTTATTAAATTCACGTACTATTGAGTTATATTAGGCTTTCTAAGTTATTTTCAATATTTAAAAAAAAAAACTGCTCTTGAACTATAATGTAATAATGTTTACGTGGCTCTTATATAAAATTGGTTGGAAAAAATATTAGTTTTAAAAAATTATCTTCAGAAAAACGGTCAATATTATATGGTACAAAATGCCGTCTTAAACAATATGTCGGGCACGGTCGGATACAATATTTAGTATTATAGTTTAAAATATAATTATCTTGAAATAAATAACAAAATTTTATTGTTGAAATATGTGGAAAATGAGTTATGACACTTTCTTTAGTTTTTTTTTTATTAAAAAATCCACTTTAATATTTCATTAAATACTAATAAGTTGAATATGTTGAAAAATTTCAAAATTATAGTTTATATAGAACTCACCTGTAGAAGAAAACCCTATTTTACAAAATTAAAATCGATCTCCCCTATGGCTCTTGGCGTTATTTTATACTTTACCATTACAGGTCTTGGAAATACTTCGATAGCTGTAACCTCATTTTGGCCAACCCATGAAAATAAAACCCCAAAATCCAGCCTTTATTTTTGGATCTATGGACACAAATTGTGGACCGAATATCACTGTGCGTCGCTCCAACATTCGCAATGGCCGATTTTTTTGTTATTTTATTTAATTAAATTTCCATTTTTAAATTTTTCTTTTAATTTTTAGATTTTGATGATGTAAAAAGGAAATTAAATATTTTTTATGTAATTTTTGTTTAAATTTTTATTCAAATAAATTTGTTTTCTCTTAATTTAATTTTCTTCTTTGATGTTATTGTTTAAAAATAAGAATCTTTCTTAATTTCATATAACTTTTAGGACTTTTTCTAATTTTTTAATATTTCTTCCTTTGTTTAATTTTATTTTAATCTTTATTTCTAAAAAAAGGAAAAGATATTTCTTTAATCAAAGAAAATTTTTAGATTTTTTTTATATTTTCATTTAATTTTTTTCTTTTGTTGATTTCTTTATGTATTAATTTTTAGATTTTATTGCTTTAAAAAAAAATATTTTTTTGTCTCATTCATTTTTAAGGATCTTATTTATTTTTTAATTTATTTCTTTGCATATCTGAATTAAATTTTCTTTGAATTTTTATATTTTTTAAATTTTCAAGTAATATGTTCTTCTGTTTTGGTTATTTTTTTTTATCTTTCTAACGTAATATTTAGATTTTATTGGTTTGAGGAGATTTGTTATATATCCGTCTAGTTTTTTTTAAATACTTTTATTAGTTTTGCTTAATTTTCTTTTTATGCAGCTTTTTCTAATATTTTTTATTTTATTTATTTTCCTTTTGTTGATTTTTTCATCTTTTAATTTTCAGAATTCATTGTTTTAAAAAGAAAAAATATATATATTTTTGAAGTTTAATTCAATTTTTAAAAAACTTTTTGCTAACAGGCGAGCAGCTTAACACTACGAGCTGCTCGTTAGCAGATCTTTCAGAATTGACAATTGTCTAACGAAAAACTTTTGTTTTTCGAAATACTGTGGTGTGTTGAAGAACAATTGCTAGAATTGTACTGTAAAGTTCGATATATGTAAGAAAATTTCAACGCAAAAAAAAATAAATAAATTGTAAAAGCATGGATTTTGGTCTATAAAATTTATCCGATTGACTCAAAATGTTTAATGTTTACCTTTTAGATGAATGAAAGGGAAAAACTCCGGCAAGCGCTTCGCACAAAATTAATTGAAAAAATGCTCAGACAGAAACGGGCACTCCTATTGTACTTACATGCATAAAGACGTACATTCACATGCAAGTTCCTAGCAGATCTACTCATAAATTAGGTCAGAAATATATATGCTTCATTATTAAATTTCCACGTATTTGTAGCCAAGATTAATTAGTCCTCCGGGTGACGTGGACACCAGCGCTCGAATGCAGCAGATTGCATGGTTTGGTTGGTTGGTTGGCGGGTTAGTATGCCCTTGTAACTGGTTATCAATAAGCCACAGAAATTTGCTTACCCTTCTAAACATTTATGTATGTATGTATGTACTAGGTATATGTGATTTCTACCAAGTAAAGAGATGTCTCCTTAATCATTTTCTCTCATTTGCGGGTTGCTCTAGAATTTGATATGCTTTAGAATAGATATGTGCACTAACATATTTGTATGCATGTAAGCTGCAGCGTAGATTTGATTGTCATAACTTTTTGAATGTACCTTCATTACAAACTCGCATATACATATATGTGAATACATTCTATAGGAGTTACGTAAACATACAAACGTGCATGCATAGAATTTGGTTTGGGTCTAAAGTATCTACAGCCTGTGCCTATAACTAAACTCCTTATCACCGCCACTGGCTAATCAGAAAATTGAAAACTACATTTTACAATGGTGACAGTTTCCGTTGGCATGGCACAGGCACTTTCAAAGTTGTAGTACATATCCATGTATGTGGGCATGGAAAAGGGAAGTGCAAACTTTTAACTGAATTTGAGAATTGGGTTGTTACAGGGTTATGTGCCGCATCAGTAATGGCATTTTAATGGTAATAGTAATGGTAATTGTAACAGTAATGCTAGTGGTAATGGTAATGGTATTGATAGTGGTAATGGTAATGCTATTAGTAATGTTAATGATAATGGGCATGGTCGTGGTAAGGATAGTGTAATTCGCATTAGTAATGATTATGCTGATGGTAGTGATAACGTTAATGGCGACAGTGTTGTAATAGTAATGGTAATGATAACGGTAATGGTAACGGTAATGGTAATGGTAATAGAATGGTAGAGGTAATGGCAATGGTAATGGTTTTAGTAATGGTAATGATTATGGTAATGGTAATGGTAAGTGTAATGGTAATGATAATGGTGATAGTAATACTAACGGATAGATAGTAAGTACTTCGATTCAAATTAAACGTTTTTTCTCACTCACCCTGTATCGAATACCACCAAAATTTTCAGTGATTTCCGCTCAAAATTCGAAACCAGGCAACTAAAACTCATTTGAAGCAAAATCTTGGCAGCAATTCAATTAGCGGCGCTGGCATTTATCTTATTTACACTACAGGTGCATACATATACAAACAACCGGGGCATAATATAGAGCATAGGCCCGTAACTCACTTATGTACATACGCCACGAAGGCAACGCAGTCTGCAAATAACCGCAGCAGGTAGCATACGCCAAGGTGCACTTTGAGTGTAAATGATATGTTACCGTAAATACTTATGTATGTATGTACATTCGGTTAGGCTCACATACGTATGTAGGTATATTTGTATGTGCGTACGCATTGCTTACAAGAACACAATATGCATGCGGCACACTTTACTCATACATACATAATACACAAATGCAAATTTCCTCTGCATAAGCTTTAGCTGTAGCTTCGTTGGCAGTGTGTGTGTGTTGCAAAGTTTCCCTGCAAAAAATTATGCGACTAATCTCTAAAGAGAGTATTCCGAGATTACTCTCAATCGGGTACAATTGGGCATTAATTAGTCGCAACTAGTCTCATACGGGTACTATTGGAGATCAATTAGTCTCGACTCATCCTTTACGGGTGTAATTGGAGATCAATTAGTCCCCGACTCATCTCTAACGGGTACTATTAACGATTTAATGATATGTGCGCACTTAGTCAATGAAATTTCATGTGCGGCGTTGGCACACAGAGAGAGTATTCGCCTAACAAAACTGAGCACCACGGTTCGAATCGCAGCTGGCGCAAATTTTTATTTTTTAAAAGTGACTAGTCGCTTTTTATACCCATTTGGGTATAAAGGTGAACAATTAGTCTCTTCATAGGACATGCTCGAACAAAAGCGATCAGTTCATTCCATATAAAGAGATCAAAAGTGGTATTAGTCGCATGCTCCTTTGCGATTGCTCCCGGAGTCATCCCGGATTAGTCCCATTTTTTGCAGGGTTGTGCAACATTGTGACCTATGCGCTCACGCAACCAATTACGGTTGCACATTTGAGCTTCGGTACTTCGGTACTATCGTGTGCTAAGAAGTCAACGAGATGGGAATGTCTTTTATACCAGAAGGAAAATATGATTCCGTTTTTTTGCTTGTCACTTCGAGGATTAAGGAAAAATACGAGTATTTTGAATTTATTGAAATAAGAAATAGATATACCAAAATTTTAGCAGGTTGAATTCCCAAGGTAGTATTTTCGACCGAATTTACATAATTTTTTTTCGTTGCGCAATCTGTAGTGGAATTCTTTGAAAAACCAAAACCACCCGAAAAGTGTTACTCCCATAATTTCACCACGCCACGAACATCGGCCGCTATTTAGTCGGTTTTTTTCTAAATGCTTAAGAAATGAACTCGAGCCCCGAGTCGACGACGACGAGGTAAGAAAAGCAATCACGCGGCTGAAAACAACAAAATTGCTGGAGTTCCCGGCTGGTCAGCTGAGCTATCGTCGATTGATTAAAAAATACCAATGGATTACGCCAAAAAGATTAGTTGCAGTTTAGTAAATCATAGAAATTGTTTTTTTTTTAAATTATAAATTTAAAAAATAGTCATTATAAACATTTTATGATATTTTAAATAAAAAACTTGCGGAGCATGGAAAAAAGTGCAATTGATTACGCGAAAGTCTTTAATGGCGGCGTAGTTATTCTTAATGAGATTTTTTTTTTTATCTACAACCTAGTATTTTTGCTTTTTGGGTAGTACAGTTGAATTGACGTTGTCAGTATTCTTGGCGTCCGTCCCGGAAAAGTTATTAGCTTTTAATTAATCTAAATAACAATCCGGTCCCTCTGGATGGTACATTTTTTATATGTTATTCAGAAATCCTTCTGAATCGATTCGATTTTTTTTAGACTGTTAGATTTTTTTGGCTACCCGATTTTTCAACGTATTTGTATGTCAAAATTTCTCTTTTTAATAAAGAGTGAGCCATTAGAATAGGTGCATGTGTCAGCAACCTCTCCTTTAAAAAAAAAAAAGTTTATGCGGAAGAAAATTGAATGCAAATTACGATCATTTTATTCCAATATTGCTATTGAGCTCTGTACCGCGATTTGTTTGTTAGGAAAAATGGAATCAGTAGTAAAGTTTAAGCGGTAGAAGTTATAGCTGCTATTTCGGAAATCACCACAACTCCTCATCAGACATCTTTTGCAAGACTTCAGCAGGGATCGAACCCGCATCAAACACCAAATCATGGAAAAAAGCTTAATAACACTATTGGAATGAACATTAATACGCCACAATAAAATTTACGATCATTTTATTTTGATTACAAAAACTAATTTTGAAGCGTTAGGTTTTTGACTTTTTTCTTAATACCTTCGATTAGATGACTAACGATAAGCCTCTTGCATCTGCTGACTTGCAGCATGTTACTTATCTGGAAAATCTTTGACATCCCTAGATATCTATTTTGTCCTCTTTATTTTTTTTTTACTAAAGCCCAATATCTCTCGATTGGTCGAGGTACTGTGCAATTGGGAGGGTTTGCTTCTCTCGGCAAAAAACAAAGCGATATAATTTTTCTCGTGCCACTCAAAAGCTCCTTCAGTATAGTGGCATCAGGAGAGACCAGGCCAAACAAAGGTAACCATACCATGGTGATATAGAAATGGCTGATGTCTCTTTTGTAAGCGCTCTATGATGTGAGCTTCTGTGTTAGTAATGCTTGTAGTTACGATAATTTTACTCGTAATGCCACAACTGCATATACCCCGCGAAACAAGAAATTTTACGGAAACTTCGAATGTTTTTTTGTGTCCTAAGTTTTCCTCAAGCATCGCTAACATAAAATTCTTGGCGGTCCAGTACTTTTTGAACTTTATTCGTCTTCAGACCAGCGTCTGATTTAGCTCAACTTACATATGGCTCTGATCTTCAGCGTGGTCACCACCTTTTCCGCCTTGTTACGGAAAGAGGTTTTAGAAGGCTTACAAATGAAAATATTTTTGTGGAAGGAGCGCCACTTGTTTAAAAATTTTAGTTTTATCGGTTGCGGAAAGTTTACGACCGAAATTTTTTTTAGGAGGGTTGCCACCTGTTTGATTTTTTTTTTTCAATTACACTGATACAATACATGAAATATTTCAATACAGTTACCAATTTAAAAAATTGTTTAATAAAGTTTTCCGTCGAAAATATTTTTAAACGGGGTTGCCACCTATTTGAAAAACTTAATTTAGTAAATTGATAAGATAAGTATTGCAATAATTATATCAAAGGAAATATTTGAGGAATTTTTGGATAAAAAAATAGCTTCAACTAGCCCCGCGTGCTTCGCAGCAACTTCAAAATGCATGAAATAATTTCTAGTTCGCCATATTTCTGCTCTATTGATTTTAAACTAAATACTGGTGTGAAGGAAAATTGTTAAGTAATAAATAGTAAAAGCTTTCCTGTCCATATATAAGTCATAATCAGTTAATTCTGGCTTATAAATAATATGGAAAAATATACTCGCCTGCCGCAAAAAAGAAAAAAATAAATAATAACACAGTACAAATAAATAGAAAATTCAGACAAAAAATGCTACCAACTAGTTTTTATATTGATTATCGTAGTTCGTAGATCACGCTGCTTAAGAAAAAAAAAAAAATACCGTCAATTTGTTATTGAAGTTTCTATTATTTGTCTTGTTGTCTGCCTTTTAACTCATGAATAATTATTGCATATTTAATAGCGTGTGACCTTTCTGCTATTTTGCACAGCAACATAACAACAGGTTGTTCTCATTTACTTGCATATCAATCACTGTTATTTACATACAATCCAGACATTTGTATTGCTGTCAGAAATTTTGTCATAATATTGTTAACATTCGTTGATTGTGTTATTTTGTTTAAAAAAAATATATATCTTCATGTACCTACATACATATATGTATGTATATATGCACTCATATCTATTTAATTGTTGCCGTCAAAACAAAAACCAAACTCACACACACACATACATACATATGTACATATGTACATGCGGCAGCACGCGAAGGGCACTTTCTCCGCCAAAAAAAGCTGATGGTTATTTTTATGGCGGAATTTAATTAAAAACGTGACATATTTTGCCATTGGGAAAATGCATGATGCTCTTTTTTTCATTATTATATGAATTTGTTTTTCGGTTTTTGCCGAGCGCGATACAGAAATGCAGTAAATAGTCAAACTGATGATCAAATGAGCGAATGCCAATATGAGGGTGTTCTTGTTGACCAATGAGTTTATGTTCGTACATACATATGCATATATATATACATAAACACATACATAGGTATGTATTTACATGCGCGCAATAGATATGTACATTAGATTGTACCAGAAAAAAACTTTGCACCCGCGAGTCTAAAGTATTTTGCAAGGTATTTAATTTGGAAAAAATTGGGTTTGGCCGTGCGTAGGTGTCGCATTTTGTTATTTTTCGTTATATCTTCGGTATTTTCAGCCAGCAAAATCATTGTAAACGCGCTCATAACTGGATATTTTCTCGAAGAAAAACCAGCTAAAAAGTCGTTTATGATAGCCGTTTACGATTCGTTTTTGATTACTCTTTTGCTGGTAATCGTCGATCGTCTGCGAACAGTCGAAAACGGATCGAAAAAGTATTCGTATGCGAATACTATATATTATAAAATATTGTGGTTCAAGAAAAATATCCAACAGAATGAAAATATTTTCTTGTGCTGACAAATTACTACACGCCTCGTTCTTTTCCTTTTTTGCTGTTTTATCGTTCACGAGCCTTTTTCAAACTTTTCGCCGATCGAGAATCCCTCGTAAAACATAATGTTCGTAAAATGTACGTTTTCTTGCTGGCTGTGTTGACACACAGTCGGCCCATAGAGTGTAATATACCGATGACCTTGTGTCGTGGAGACCATTCTTTCATTCTGAAGTTCATT